CACAAACAATTTTCTAAACTCAAATCATTTTTGTTTGAATTTATGCACCGAAGATCGTCATAAAAACTTTGCTGTTTTATTGATTGTTCCATTAAAATACTATTCTCAAATTCTTGATTTCTTTGTTAATGGAAAAATTTTGTTCAAATCTTTTTCCATTAACGCTTTTATCAGTGCCTGATTTTGAATTGAAGCAATCATTAAATTCATCCTTATAATGCGTTTTGCTTCAACTCATCTGAAAAAACAAAAGTTGTTTTTGTTGATTCATTCATTTCTAATTCACACGAGTAGCTAAGGAATAGGACTTTTCGCCATATTAGAGCTATGCATAACACGGTAAGGCCAAATTTACTCTCTGAGGTGACCAGGTACGGAGTGGCTCCGTTATTGGTAGCTTGAAATGCCCTCAGCTACCAACCACTAGGCACGGTTCGCTTCACACCTTGGATATGATAGTGGCAGTTCTTAGTTTAATCGCTCTGATCACATTCGAATGGAATAAATATTTTTTCCCATTTACATGTGACAATCAATATAATTCGATGTGAATCTTCGCATATTTTAAGCCACCGCACTTCGACAAATCGATCGCCAATACGAAGGAACGATAAGAAATATGAAATTGTATTGAAAATTCAAAAATTTTTTAAAATATGTTTCTTTTTTCAAATAAAAAATTAATTTAAACTTAATAAAACATTAAAAGATATTAATTCTGTTTTCAAAAATTTGAGATTAAATTGCTAAAATATAATTTACGGGCTAATTTTATCCGTAATCCAAGTTAAAACATTAAGAAAAGAATCTGCAAAAAAAAAAGGTATATGCCATAAAGCAGTTTTATTTAAACGCCGCCATTAAGAGTTAATTTAAATCCGCTTAGTAATAACCAGCAAATAAATCTACAAACAAAAAGAGTTTTATGGACACTATACTTACATACTTATGTGCCAAGAAATTTTTTATTAAGTTCAATCAATCGATTCCTTTACACCTTTACAATAACGTATGGCAGTTTTAGTTGAAATTATTACATGTCCTATGTTCTACATAGAGTATGCAATAATTTCAAAAAAAATATGACGCCATTATAAAAACCCGAGGAGCAAAATTTGAAAATAATCCCGTTTTTTCTCGTTTTTAGTTTATTTTAATAATTATTTTAGTTTATTACACAATAATTTTCAGAAAAATTTTTTTTTTAATGATATAAAAATCAAAACGAAATTCTTCTATTATGCAAAAGATTATTTTTGTTTTAAGAAAACGACAAAGTAAAGGTAACTTAACTTTTTTAATTTTGTTTTTTCAAATACATAACTATAATGTACTCGTAATAAAGATATACTGACTTATTTATGTGATTAATTTAAAAATTTTTTTAGAATTGTTAAAAACTATAAGAAAAATCATGCCTGAATGAAACATAATTTTTTAATTATTAGATGAGTGAATAAAATTTTAAATAAATAATCCGTTACCAAAAATAAGTATAACTTATTAACCTGAATATTAGGATACTACAAACCAGCGAAGAAAAATATTGTTGGCCAATAATATTATATTTTCAATTTTGCAGGATGAATTATATTTTTAATATTGATTAATGGTCAACAATTTTTATTTTGATAAAATTACAACTAAAATACGAGTAATAAATTAATAATGTTGTAATTTAACTTTAATAAGATACGTAAATTTTAACATTAAAATATTTAATATAAAATTTATTCAATTATTAAATTTAGTTTAAATACTACATTATTTTCAGTATTCAAATACCTTATACATATTACAATACTTAATATAAATTGAAATCTATTTAAAAAAATTTTCATAGTTTTATCTATTTTATCTTTACTACGATTTTTAATCAAACAATACCGAGATTTACAACGAGTAAACCACAACACAACAATAAATTTAAACATTTTAAATTAAAATATGAAAATAAACTGGCATGTTGATAAAAGTTTACTTCTGCTTATTACTAACAGTACCCCCAAAAAGATATACATATAACCGTTTATATCAATTGAATATTTAAGTACATATTAATATCCTCGCATTTTATTATATATGTGTATATAGAAAAATTAAAATAATAGTTTTTGTACATCTATTATACAGCACATAATCCAGACAAACTGTCTTTACAAGTATGCTGGAAAACGTAACTACTTTCATATATTACTACTTCCAAAAACTTTTTTTTCTAATGTAAGTAGGTACCTACCACATTTAAATTTTTAATATTTGTAGAAACTTAAACAGTATCTACTTATGTTATATATAAATAATGGCATATTACTTTTCAACAATTGCAAATTTTTGTAGTGTTGATGTTTCAAATAAAATTTAAGAGTACTCTTTTTTTCGGAAAATTAATTGTCCCGCTATCAAATATTAGTACCAAAAATAAAAAAAAAATCTGATGTGATCAGAAGTATCACTTCTTTCGAATTTTTAGGGCGTTAGTAAGCTTTTATTTAACATACCTAAAAATGTGTAAATTTGGCTCTTACTAGGGTTTCGTTTTGTGTCATTCGAATTCCTTGAAAAGCTCACCAGTTAGTTTCAGTAACAACCAGAGCTCCAATATCAAATTTCAAGAAATTCCATCAATTCTTTCCGTAGATATGGTAAAAACGAGCCCCGATCAAAAAATTTATAAGTATGTTCACTGTTTTAAAGATGAAAGTGATTCTGACCTTGTTAATGCCACAAATGGTGGCCAATTAGCATCCGTCATAAGATAATACCTATAACGACAATTTTATATTATATTTGAAAATCACTGGGGTTCTTTTAATTTTTAACAAAAGCTTTTTTTTAAAAAAACAATGTATTTAAATTTTATTTCCGCTTTTTACATTTAATTGAATGCAAATGCTTCAAAAAGACAAAAATGTATTTAAGTATAATTTAAAAAATTATAATAGGTATCAGGGATTTAGCAAACTGAAAATGAATTTATTTTTTTTTTGTTTTTACAAATTACTAATATAATTTAAGATATACCTATACACAACTTTTTTTTTCTGTCTTTTTTTCTACCAAAATCCATTCTATACAAAGTCTTGAATAAGAACAAATACATATTAAAAACTTTTGCGTTCATATTTCTAAAAATGAAAGTTTAAATATATTTGAAAGCTTCCATTTAAACAACAAAAGTAAAGTTCCTGAATGTTCAAGTATATCCTTTTAATAAACATATGCAACAATTTAGAAATAAAATATTACCAATATGGTTGTATGTTCATATGTTATATTAGATATTATAAGTAATATGTAGTACTCGTAATATTAAAATTTTAAGTTAACTAAATTAATTTTTAAAAAATTCCTTTTTTTGTAAAAAGATTTTTACAAAATAACTTTTAAAGTAATAACAAAGTATATGTTTTTAAAATAAACTGGATAAATATGTAAAAATTAAAATATATCTTAAGTTAAGAAAAAGCGCATGTCCTTAAAAAAAAAAGATTTTTTCCTAGCCGCAATAAAAAAAAAGCTCAGCGAAAAAATGAATTGGTTAAAATAGCATGTATGAAAGTATATTTGTACATTTATACAAACACAAAGGGAAATCAGCTGTTCCAATATACATAATATTTCAACGCAAGTATTTCATTTGACTTGTAATTTTCTTGTAATTTGACTTGTCATATATTTTTGCTATATTATTAGGCTATCAAAAACATAGCAAACAGCAATTTAAATAATTGTGTTACCTGTTAACCTTCTACCAAATGAAAGACATAATTAAATTTTTTTCAGTCATAAGAAACTGACGAGAGTTCTTTCGGTTAAATATACATATGTATTGAAATTTTTGCTTTAAAATTCTACATGAAATTACAAATAAATTTTACATATAATTTCAATTAAAATAAACAATTATACTGTTAGTAACCCAAATCTGATAAAATCTTATGACAAAATTTTCAAAATTTTACAAAATGAAGAGAATAGTTTTACTTATTAAGTTTGCTAGCATTTGAGTTTTCTAATATATAACATATGAATTCTCATAAGGTACCTATGCTCCTATGTGGAAACTTAATGCCCTAACATTATTGTAGATTTGAAGTTTTTATTTTCTGAAAATAAGTTCCACATATTTTTTTGTTAAATTAATTGAATATGAATACATACAATAAGAAAAACTCATTTTAAGGAAGCACATGCATTTAAAAAACGCATTTCATAAAAATTCTGACATACCGCAGGGTCGTTTTAAAAAAAGGAAGTAAAAACATTTTGTTGAATATTAGCAATATGAAAATTATACGAAATTATGCCAGTATTTAGTTCATCTTTACAAAATCATTATAGGGAAAAAAAAGTAAACAATTTAAATAATTAAAAATTTGATATTAGTTTAGCAAATTGTTTGTTCTTTTCCATTAAATGTAGATTAAAAATACATATCTTTCTTTTTGTATAGGTACTTAAATTTTATATTAAAATGTGAATATGTACGTTTTTCAATCTACACATGAACATTATTAGTAGAGACATTTTTTACGTAAATTTTTAAGGGAACCGAGTGGGACAAGTGGATCTCCACCTATTTTTATGTAAATAGGTACATATGTTAATTCATATTCAAATAATTGAATAAAAAATTTAGTTAAATTGAATACATATTTAAAATTGAATTAACAATGAAAACTGTCCTTGAAGAGTCTAATTTTAGTATTACATTTTCTTTTAATTAAATCTAACGATATTATAAAATTCTATGAGAATTCATATTTCGCATAGCATTTACATAAAAACTATTAATTATAGTAGAAACAATTTTTGTTACAATTACATAAACACTTAGTTATTTCCATATGGTACGCATTTTTCTACTTAATTTTCTTTCTTCATTTTAAAACTTAAAATATGTATATTTTTAAAGTATGTACTTATATCTAAATTCGGAAAAATGTATTAAATTTAAAAAAAATATATATTTTTCACTAAGACTTAGCAACACTTACCAAGCAATCTTTCAAAAGTCATATAAAAAATCCCCTCTGGGGTAAATTCGAGCACTCAAAATAAAAAATAAAAAAAATAAATTTGATTTCTTCCCGATATGAAAGAAATCTGGAACCAACTTTATATTAATTTTTTAAATGATTGTTTTTTTAATTGAAAATTAAAAAAAAAAGTTAAAGAAAATAAAGAAATGAAAATTAAATATATTAACACTACTTTCTTTTGTAATTTTTCACTTTTTTTTAAAGTTTTTCTTTTTTAGTGAATTATGCACAGCAACGCGTGCGCACTATTATTAAACGTCAAAATTAATTTTTGCTCTTTCCGTTTTGGTTTCGGGCTCCTTGGGGCTCCTTTAAACGCTTGGTAACTGTAACTTTTTCACAAAACTGAAACGAAAATAATTTTCAGAATAAGTAGAGTAATAAAAATCAAATATTTTCGATTACATTAGTCTTAAACATAAAAGTTAATATTTTTTACTAAATTTATGTATTCTTTTTGTATTTAATATTTTTGGAAAATTTCAATATGTAGACTTGAAAATTGACACATCACAATTTCTTGTTCTGAAATCTTTCTCATACACATAATTATCAATTTACGCAGATTATAATTTCTTCGCTATATTACTAGTACAATTTTAAGTTTCAAGTTTTGATACTCACATGTTTCTCTTTTTTGAATATAAATTCTTACAAATTTCTTTAATTATAGAACGAATTTTTTTATGCTACCATTTATTTAATCCACACATGAAATGAGGCGAATGAAATATAAAATGCCAAAAATAAGTGCATCCATATTTAAATATATATTTTAGGTTGGTGCAACTGATTTTTCTGAATTCATGACTTCGACCTCTGGTGGTTTTAAAATTACATACTTAGAAAATAATTCGAATGCAATTTTTTATTTTTTTATTTATTACTAAGTTTAGTTGCTTAATGCGCAAATATGAATATATTTGTATAAATAACTAACTAGTATACATACATACATTTTGCACGAAATCGTGTTATTATTCATACCTTAATATATAATTTTTTCGCTGTTATGTTAGAAGGCCAGTTCAATAGTTTTGTTATCTCGACAGCACTTGCATACACACGTCTCATTTTTTTCTGTTTTCAAAGAAAAAAGAAATTAAATCCAACAAAAAATCTAAAAATTGCTCTAAGTATTGTCAATTGAAATTGACATTGTATCCCGCGCTTGTATAAATAGTAAACAAAAATTTTTTTTGATTTTAGTTATAAGTTTATTATGAATTGTGAAAAGTATTGAAAATATATTATTGTTTTAAAAAAATTTGTAAAAGTGAAAAAGGAAAAAAAAATTTGCAAGAAGAAAGATATTCATAATTCGTTGTTCTCATTTAAAAAAAAAAAATGAAAGTTTCCCTCCATATGTATATGAATATTATATTTTATTTTAATATTTGAAAGAAGTATTTATTATAATAGAGTTAAATTTACTTTATAATTCGAAAATTTCTTAAGTTTTTAATATTGGAAAGAAAGCGTTTGTTTTTTTATACTACAATTACTTCGAATAACATAATTTTAACAGGAGCGGATAACATAATTTTACCAGCAAATTTATTTAACACCAGATACTGTACTTAATTTTCATGTAATTAATAAATATGTAGAAACAAATCAAAAATATATGAAGACGTGTCCCTTACTGTTGAATGCAGTAAGTAAAATAAAATATTAATGCCAATTATTAATAAAATATATTGTATTAGAATGAATAAATATGCGGATTATATTTACCATCTTAAATGAGTAATAAAGAAAACATTAATTAAAATTTGTCAAAAAGTATGTACATATAAAATTTTGGGGCTATTTTGTATCCGAAATTCACCAACGTTCCACAACGACAAATGTTTTGTTTTGCAAGTACAAAATATAAAAATATATATGTTCAGTTCAAGAGCAGTAAGATATTGTAATATAGATAAACGTATACGTAATTTCTATTTATAAAATAAATTTATTCAAAGAGAAAAAGTATTTTGTTTAAATTTAATTTGTTTTACAGATATTTCAAATGAAAAAGTATTTTAAAATATTTTTTAATTGTTACTTAAAAGAAAGCAGATATTTCAAATAAAATATTTTAACATATTTTTTAGTTTTTACTTGAAAAAAAATTTTAACATATCTTTCTTTTGCCTTCAAATTGCACCTATTTTATGGTAGAGGCTAAATAGCAAAGAAAGAGACAACTAGAAGAAATTAGGCTTTATAGTTTTTGCAAGATGTTCCTTCCTTTAGTATTTCTAATTACTTGGTAATCACAATCACATGCAAATAATGAGAAATTTGCTAATTGAACGAACTAATTTTGACAATGACTTATGAGGTCATATGTTATGTACTACAATGAAATGAAATGACTATTTAATTCTATTCTACATCATACAAAACATTTTTGCATTTACGTTTGAATTGAAATTTATTTTGCTTTAAAATATTTAATATAAAAAGATTTAGTTGTAAAATATACATATAATAAAATACAAATATATTTTCCATAAGATTATAAACTTGTAAAAAACAGTTATTTAAAAAAATTGAATAAATAAAAAAAGAAACTGCTTTAGAGTAATAGAACCTAATAATAATATTAAGCTATTCTACATTTTAAAAATTTGTATTTCGTTTGAAATGAGTGACGATATTTTAACAACTATAAAATTACTTATTATTGGCGAAAGTAACGTTGGCAAATCAAGGTGAATTCTTTCCAAAAGATTTCTAATTTTTTGATAATATTAACTGAAATTTTCAAATTTTAAAATCATGTATAATTAAGATAATTAAAACATCTTAATTATAAAAGTGAATTTTAAATATGAGATATAAACTAACAAAATATTCAGCACATTTCAGTAAATAAATCTGAAAAAAATACATAAATAATTACATATATATACTTTGTTTTTAGCCTAATGCTTAGGTTTACAGAAAATGATTTTGATGAAGACCAAACATTAACTATAGGAGTCGATTTTAAAACTAAAATCCTTAATATAGATGGATCTAACGTTAAATTAGCTATATGGGATACTGCAGGACAGGAAAGATTTCGAACTCTGACACCGAGTTATTATCGTGATGCACAAGGTGCAATATTAGTTTACGATGTAACAAAACGTAGTACCCTGCAAAAGCTGGACGCTTGGTTAAATGAGTTGGTAACTTTTTGTTTTTAAAAAAATGTACACTAGACAGAATAATTTACATGTAGGAAATATACGGAACAAGACCAAATATGGCAAAAATGGTCGTAGGGAATAAAATTGATCTACCTAGAGAAGTATCAAGAGAGGATGGTTTTAAATTTGCAAAAAGGCACAGAATTTTATTTTTAGAAACTTCAGCTAAAACCAGCGAAGGTGTGAAAGATGTGTTTGAGGAAGTTGTCAGAAAGGTGAAAGTTTTATAAATATAGATTAAAAAAGTTCAGTAATTTCATGTTTCTTTTATAAAGATTATTGAAACTGATGGATTATGGGAACCAAGGTCATCACAAAACAACGGTGTTGATTTAAACGCAGAAGATGTTGACAATAATTCATCTTGTCCATGTTAGATTTATAAGTAAATATTTGATTTATCAGGTTTGTTCATGAAATTAAAATTTCCCTTTTTATTTGAATAAAGTAAATTCTGGTGAAAATATAATAGAAAAATTTTACATTAGTATTAAGATGAATAGGTTATATACATATTAAAAGTAAATTATACATCTTGAAATATCCATTTAAAGAACACAATTTCTTGTAAAATGTTTACAGTGGAACTGAAATATAATTGAACGGAAATATGTTTTATGATTTATATACGTTTTTCTTATATTGTTTAGAAAGTGAAAAAAAAAATTTGTGCAGAATGTAAATGTAATCTCAATCTTAAATATTTTTGATATATGTACAAACTTGACTCTTATATTTGTTTTTAATTACATTTAAATATTTCTTTTGTGTTTTAAAAATATAAAACGGTGAATTTATTTATATATTTTAATTATAAATTTATGTATAAATTCGTTAAAAAACAATAAAATCACTCATTTATATAGTAATATAAAATGTTTTTTAAATTTGTCTTAATTACCAAAATTATGAACATAATAAATTTGTATAAAAAATTTTTACCATGAAACAAAAAATTAGATTAATTTTAAATTTAAAATAATATGATAAATAAGAATATTGCATGAGTTTTTTTTGTTTGTTTTGTCACAAAAAAACAAGAATTTTTGCAGTTTCTGATGTTCTAATAAAGTACATAAAATAAAATATGTATTACATGATTGCCTCACCTTAAAAGTCGAATCGTATATTAATTTAAACTTCGTATTTGCTTTAAATGATTGTATGTTCATATATATTTGAAAGCAATTTTTTTTTTTAATAACAACTATTTAAAATTACACAAATTTTATTAAAGTGTCTGCATAATATGGTATTATAATTTATGTGTCAAAACATATATACGTACGTACATACATATATTCCCAAAGGTTTAAACCTTTGAAATTGAAAAAAGAACAAAAAATAAACAAAAGTTACAAAAGGGCAGTAAAATATTTTATCAGCATATTTTCGAATATTATCAATAAGATTTTATGAAAAAATGAATACATATAAGATTATCGTAATCAACAAAAGGTATATATATATGTATACAAGTATGTATGAATATAAAATTGTACGTAATTTTAGAAAAATGCATTTACATGCATGTAAAATAAATGTTTATCAGTTTTACAAAAATTTTTGCAAAATAATCAAAAACTGTTTTAAAAGAAAGAATCTAAGTACTTTAGCTGAAAAATTGCAATTTCATCTACTTACCTTGATTTACCTCGATACGTTCGCTAAAATTTTGTAATTTCACATAACAAAATGATGAAAATTGAAAAGTTGTCGGATTTTTAAGTTTATTCGTTTAATATTTTGCTCAATGTACATACATATACACATATGTATAATTAACAAATAACAAATAGAAAACAGTGATACATACCTTAAGGACTTAGATGAAAATATACAAGATAAATTATTTAATAGATTATATGTATGTTAAATATTTGAAATATTAAAAATTATCTATTTATTTCCTTCTACTGTATCAAATTGTAATAAATTTAAATACATATTATACATATACTTATATACTTTTATATACATATGTATTGTATAATAGGTACATCAGTCGGATCCGCTTATAAACACATCGAAAGTTGTTTATATGCGTGATTCAAAATCCATGCTACTTATATCCAGTTATTTAAAAAACAGTTAATTAAAAAAATTGAATAATTAAAAAAAGAATAAACTGCTTTAGAGTAATAGAACCTAATAATAATATTAAACTATTCTACATTTTAAAAATTTGTATTTCGTTTGAAATGAGTGACGATATTTTAACAACTATAAAATTACTTATTATTGGCGAAAGTAACGTTGGCAAATCAAGGTGAATTCTTTCCAAAAGATTTCTAATTTTTTGATAATATTAACTGAAATTTTCTAATTTTAAAATCATGTATAATTAAGATAATTAAAACATCTTAATTATAAAAGTGAATTTTAAATATGAGATATAAACTAACAAAATATTCAGCACATTTCAGTAAATAAATCTGAAAAAATACATAAATAATTACATATATATACTTTGTTTTTAGCCTAATGCTTAGGTTTACAAAAAATTATTTTGATGAAAACCAAACATTAACTATAGGAGTCAATTTTAAAACTAAAATCCTTAATATAGATGGATCTAACGTTAAATTAGCTATATGGGATACTGCAGGACAGGAAAGATTTCGAACTCTGACACCGAGTTATTACATACATATACACATATGTATAATTAACAAATAACAAATAAATCAAAAAACAGTGATACATACCTTAAGGACTTAGATGAAAATACACAAGATAAATTATTTAATAGATTATATGTATGTTAAATACATATTTGAAATAATTAAAATTATCTATTTATTTCCTTCTATTGTATCAAATTGTAATAAATTTAAATACATATTATACATATACTTATATACTTTTTTATACATATCTATTGTATAATAGGTACATCAGTCGGATCCGCTTATAAACACATCGAAAGTTGTTTATATGCGTAATTCAAAATCCATGCTACTTATATCCAATTTTTCTTACAAACGATTATTTACTCGTTCATTTATTTGCTATTCACATTCATTTTATTATTACAATTATAAAAATTTTCGCAGAGCTCAAATTTTTCAATTTTTTTAGCTTTACGTTTAATTTGTAATATTTTACAAATTTTTATTTATATTATTATATAATTGTTTAGAGGAAACTAAAGTTAAAAAATCCCTTCCTATAAAAACAAACGGTAATAAACACCAATTTTTCTTCTTACCGAGTTTTCTACCTTTAGCTTGACAACTATTTTAAAGATATACGAGTACTATGCAAACATAGAAATAAAATTTTGTACACATAATTATAACAATACCGTAATGTGAAAATTCAATTTTAGATGAAGTTAAAAAAGTTTTGTCCTTAAATTTTTTTTTTCTTATAAAGGGACTGCACTTCAAAAGCAAAAAAGAGGTAAATGAAACAAATTTATTTGTATTTATAAAAACTTTTTGCTTGTAATCGTTGTTTGAAATATAAGGATCCGACTGTTTGTCTACATATGTGCATATACATACATATAATGTTCTTATCTATTTATATTTATAAATTAAATGTTTGTCTATCTACAAAAGGTACATTTTCTACTCGAAAATGTTTAGAACTATATCTTACATTTTTATTACAAAAGTTTCTTTTAATGATGTCTACAATAATTATTAATGATATAACACTAATACATGTTGTTATTGCTATTAATAAAATATTGGTTCGTTCCTGTTCTTTCATTAAATTTAGTAATAAACTTTGATTATAATTATTGTCTTCAGAATAATATGTGATGTGTTTCTCTAAATTTGATGTAAATTTTTCATTTATACTATATGGGTTTTTATTTTTTTTTGTTTCATGGCTCTTTTCCCAGCATCCAATACCTAAAATGGTAAAAAAAATGTAAAATTACAAAATATATTAGTATTGAATAATTCTTATGTAAGAATTATAGTTGCGGACAACTATTCAAAGAATATTACAATTAGGTTTATCAAGATTTGAAAATAAATAATCGATTTGCGTCACGGTATCTTATAAAGTTACATACTGTGTATAACTTATTTATTTTTATAACTCTTTATTATTGTAAAATAAAAACACTTAGAAAGTGGTCTCAAGTAAAAAAAATCAGCTATGTACATACATATATATGTACGTACATATGTATATTTTAAAATTCTTGCTACACTGCCGTGGTAAGTATAAGGCCACCACGTAGAAGGAGCAATTCATTTTCCTTTTGTGATTTTTAAAAAAATGTATAGAGTTTATATGAAGAAAAAAAAAATTGCACCGTCCTTTTACGTTTTAAGTCAATTGCACATAAATATATGTACATACCTGAAAAAATTTTTATATATGTAAATAGATTTTGGAGTTTTATTTTAATATTTGCAAAAAAAAATTAGCACAAGAAGGAAGTTTGCATTCAAAATAAATTTTATTAAAAATATATTCCCTAAAATTTATAGAAAATCAATCGATACAGACTTTTCTCATTGCCATTAAAAAGGGGGCTGACAAGTACCGAGTTAAATTATGAAAGAAAAATCAAAATAATTTGATTAATACTTACCAGAGCATTGTAAATTAAACTTACCATTGCTAGTAAATTAAAGTTTTTTATGTTAATTTTTTTTTCTTTAAAAGGGAAAATAAAAATTTTAGTTAGAAATTTTTTAATTTAAAATAAATTGAAATTTTGGATTTCAAAATCAAAATTGAAAAAAATTAATTTTTATTTAAAACTGAATTTAAAATAATAATCACTTGTTTTTTTTCGAAATTTAAATTTTTTCTTTACTTTTTTCTTAAAAAATTACCTTTCTGGTAATTTTTTTGTAAAATTTTTCCCAATCTGTATACTACGGGTATAATCGGAAAGTAATCAAAAATTTGCATCAATGCAGCGTCATTGCAAAGAAAAGTTGCTCATGCGTTTACCTTGCTGATTGTCATATGTTTTTTAGCGTTTATTTTGAAAAGGTTTTGTGTAAAAAGTATTAAAATTATTAACAACTGAAAATCTATTAAAAAAAATTTTTTTAATTTAAATTAAGTTTTGGAGATTTTAATATAATGGAACATTTAAAAATATTAACACCATGCATAAAGAAATAATTAAATTTATTAGTAATTAACTTTATTCGTTATTGAGTTAAAATAATAAACTATTTACTTCTCAGCTTCCATTTAAAAAACTTTTAATCAATACTAAATCATAAAAAAAAATTATGCACAGCTGATTTTATATAAGCGTATTTTTGACACTTCTGGGCACCGCAACTTTAAAGTAAATTACCGTATTGATGCATTTTCGTACATGATTTTTACATTATTACACATCGATGTTGCATCGATTACTTTCCGATTATACCCTACCTAAGGAACTTTAAACTGTATTTAAAGTTTAAAAGAAAGTATGCTTTAAAATGCGGTTCTTTTGTTCTCTATGATAATTTTAAAAAGGTATGATCTCTCCAATCCATGTAGGTTTCAACAAACAAAAATTATAGTCGAAATTATTCCGCACTTAATTGCTCATGTGTATATATGTATATGTATATTCATATATGTACATATGTATGTATGTATGTACATATAAATACATATGTAAGCAAATTTAGATCCTATAAAATAGAGTTAGCATTTTAGAATGATATTGCCGTTAATTGATTTAAAACAATCAAAAAATATTAAATTGATAATTTAGTAAGACTTATAAATTTATTGATTATAAGATTTATAAGTATTTTTTAAAGAATAAAAATGATTTTATAAAGAAATTTGCTGAAAAAAAAATTAGATTTTTTTATAATCGTACCAGTTCTGATGCAATTATTATGACTCAAATTATTATGACTTTTTTAAAGTATTTAATTATGGTTTTTAAAGTAATTAAAAAGTATGACCATTTATTCAATACATTAAAAGGCTAAATATTTTCAAACTAGAATTGAAAAAACCATACCCATTTAGCGTTTGAAAACATTTTTTTATATTTGCTCGAATGTTCCGAAGACTAACACGGAAACTCCAAAGTACAAAAGCAAGCAAACAGAAATAAATGATTTAAATTACATCATATACATATGTATATATTTATTTGTATAAAATATGCAAATAGATAAGCTAATTTTGAAAAAAAAAAAAAATCGTAATTGTATTAACATGTTACCAGAAATTATTTTATAGATTTAGAACTTCATACAAAAAAACGTGAGTTTTTTATTTTTCTACTTTTCAGCTTTTAAGCACTTTTCCAAAAACTTTTTGAAAAAAAGTGCTTATTAGTGTAACTCTGTCTCGTCCGTCCGTCCGTGGACATATTTACAAAACTTCTACACCCTTGAAGATAGAAAGCTGAAATTTAATATGTACATAGATCTTTACTAGAAACTTATTTCCGTAGAAGAAAATTTTTACCTATATCTTCCCCCTTCTAGAAGTTATACCCCACCAAAACCCTAAATATGCCATTTTTAATTATTTACTGCAGTGAAACCATAAGAATTTTTCGAATTGTGGAAACACAGAAAGGCAGTGGCTTGCTTCTGCTATCGTGGCATACTATAGTTAAACGTTTAAAAAGCAAACTGTTCAAATTTACCGTTGTCTAAAATTATTTTTTTTTTTTTAATTTTTGATGTCGTTTTTTTTCTAGACCCTCGGTTGTAGGAGCCTGAAATTTTAAAAGCTGTTAAACACTAATAAATAAAATGAAAAAAAATTAAACTAATAAATAGTTTATTTGGTTAGAACAAAATTTTTTCATCTCCACCCGCTCTCAAGTTATCACCTCTTGAAATTTGTAAAATTTAAATTTTTAAACATTAAAATATATAATTATTTTTTAATTATTTTGCTTTTCTTATCCCTTAAAATCGAGCATTATGTTATGTTATATTAATTTTTGCTTTATTTCAAAGACTGCGTAAATCGTTTATCCTAAATATACGAGTATACAATCCTAGAAATAGTTTCTTATATTATGAAAATAATTTTAATAGTGTAGTAGGTATATTAATTTTTATAGTTAAAAGCAGTATTTTCACTTGTTCCATTGGTTTGACCCAACTTTATTAAATTCTACTTTTCAGTTATTTGGATGGGAAATTTTTACTTTTCAGTTTTTAAGAAAAGTATACTGAAAATTACAAAATATATGAAAATATTCAAGGAGGTACAAAAACCAAATATTAAAATTATAATTGATGACTTGAACCAATATTCTTTTAAAAAAACTGAAGAATAGAAATTTTCCTTAAAAAATTTTATAAAAAGCGTATTTATCTGTGCGTATATTTATGAAAAATACGAACACAATTACAATTATTTTTGTTAGAAATACACATCACCACATACTTATAAGAAATATACAATTCAAAAATTTAAAAATTTTTAAAATCTTGAAATTATTCAGTTCATATGATTTGATTTTCAACATTTTTTTTCAAAAGGACACTATGTTTTTTTTTATTTATTATTAAAAGTACTAACTGCATTAATATGTATACACATTTTGTCATAGTATGTATGTAGACACTCATACATAGATATTTGTTTTTTATAAACAAAATAAATTTTTTACAAATCGAGAAGATTTCTTATTATAAAAGTAGCTAACTAAATTGAAAAAGTTGGTTTAAACTTCAAATGGTTTGTAAAGTAGCAATTTTCCAAGTGAGAATACTGCTTTAAAAAAACTAGGTGTTAACATAATGCTCGAATTCAGTGGTTATTTGCGCCAGTTGGGAAAAATAATTATATTTTTTGGTGGCATGACATTAATTTTTAGCTTTCATTCTTTGAAATTTGAAAAAACTAGAAGTTTCGGAAATATCTGCTGCCAAGAAAGCAACTTTTATACATTTGGAGAATCGAAAACTTTATTAAGTGGGTGAAGTTGGAAAAATATTTTAGTAGTATCTAAAATCTAGAAAAGTTTCAGACTTCTACAACTTATTTTATAGAAGAAAACTAATATCAAAAACTTGAAAAGTAACGGGCTTTAGGTAATGGTTAATTCTAGCAGACATTTCTTTTTAATATTCAGTTATGCTGTGCCACTGTAAAAAATGTTAGCCGCAACTTTTTTGCATTTGAATGTTTATGGTTTCGTTAAAATGACTTTTTGAGGGGTTACAACTTTTAAAGGAAGAGGAGAGATAGCTAAAACTTTTCTTCAACGGAAGTATGTAAGTTTTTGGTAAAGATTCATTATACTCGTATATTATAAAATTTCAGCTTTTTTCTTCAAGGGTGGAAAAGTTTTGCGACAGAGAGAAACTGAGCACTTATTTTCAAAATTTTTGAAGAGTCCTAAAAAAAATGAAATGGAAATAAATGAATAACAAAATGATCAACATCACTAGCATGAAATTCATCAACGTCATTTTTAAAATTATTTAAATATTTTTTTTAAAATACACAAAATATTAAAATTTAAATTTTTTTTATTTTTTTCACGTTTTGTTTTTATGTTTATTTTGTGCCCAAAAGGAAAAAAGTCCTTTTTTTATTTTCACTATCAGAAAAATTTTGGTGTACGTAGCGACATCCAACCAAAAAATGTTTCAATTCAGAATCTCTTATTTATTTCAGATCTTACACTTGCATAAAGAGAGGAAGTTCGTTTCTTTTTAAAATAAAAGAAATCATGCAATCTTTGACAGAAATTTAACTGTTAATATTGAATGCCTGTATAAATATTTTTCAGAGAATGCGATGTTTTATGAATTTCTTACCAGCTATATTTTTATCTCCAATTGGTAAGTGATTATTTGGTAATAAATATTTAATATATTTTTCATTTAAATATTTTATCATATTCTTTAAAAATGTACAATTCCAGTTATTATCTGTTAATCCAATATCTAAACGATCTCTTATAATTCTTGAATCTTCATAATCAATTTCAGTTAAATTGTTTCCATCTAAATATAATGTTAATAAATTTTGTATAGGGTACAAGGAATGTCCATCAAATTTTTTTAAATTATTATATGATAAATCTAATATTAATATTCTCGGTGTAAACCAAAATGTATTATAATCCAAATTTGTAATATTTGTATGCGATAAATTTAAATAATATAATGAAGGTGACTTAAATGTGTTTCCCTCAATTAAATGTATTGGATTATGTGATATATCTAAATGTCCCAAATATTTTAAATTTGAAATACCGCTTATATCATTGACATTGTTATTATTTATATGCAATTTATTTATTTCAGAATTTATTGTTAAGTTAATATTATTTATATTGCTAAAATTTATGTATAATAATTCTGCACGTATTGTTATATTAATGCTATTAATGTTGTTATATGATATATCTAACTTATCTAAACGTATTATATTTACAAATGATAATGAATCAATTGTTTTAATATTATTATTTAATAAATATAATTCTTTTAATAAACGTAAATTTTCAAAATAATATGACTCAATTACTGTTAAATTATTATTATTTAAATTTAATTTTTTTAAATATTGTAATATATTGAAGCAATTTTTATCAATTTTATTTATTTTATTATTTTGTAAATATAAATTATTAGTTGGATAATTTCTTAATTGCTTTCTTATTGATCTTATAGTTTGCATTGTTGTATTACCGAAATTATTTTCATTAATTTCTTTAATATTATTAAATGATAAATCTATCGTTACTAATGATGGAAATTTATATAATAAATTATTTGGTAAAATATTTATTTTATTATGAGAAAAATTTATTTCTAATAAATTTTCATTAATAATTAAAAAATTATCCTCTAACGAGGGATCTGATTCCATATTCAGTACTGTTATATGCTGAATCTTTAATTCATTTTTATTATTATACATATTATCATTATCATTATTATTATCACTATCATTCTTTATAATATTGTTGTCATTTTCAATATTAATATAATTTAAATTCGAATTTGTTACTTCAATTTTTTGTATTGTAGGGTACATTATAAAAAAATTTGTTGGTAATTTATTATCTTTAAATGTACAATTATCAAATTTTATTAATAGTGTACGAAATGGATGATTATCACCATTTCGTTCAAGGTCAATATAATTTCCCTCAATAAGATCAATTTTTGTTATATTCAGTTTATCAAAATCAATATGAGAGCATATTGTTTTTCTTATTATTGGATATCTTGGATAATCATCAAAACCTCTTTCACAAAAATTTTTAAATAATTCATTATTATCAATAAATTTTAATGAAATTACAGTTATAACCAATGTTATTTTTAACGAAAAATTAAATTTATTTAAAATCATTTTTTATTAATTATTAATAATTTTTTCCGTATATTCATATGTAAAACACTCTAAAATAGCTTGAAACACACAATATGAATGTTAAACCGAGAATAAAGTTAAAAAGAAATATTATCGATGAAACATTGACTTTTCTTTACCACCCAGTTTAAGAGAATACTCGTTTAATTTTTAGAGCGTCTTATGCCAACATTATCTTATCAGTATAAGTGAACATTAGTAAACTCACAGAAAAATTATATTTATGTAATGCACACGATTAAAGTGCAATAATGTCGCGTTATATTTTTAACTAGAGATTTTAACAGTATTCCTTATTATACCATTGTATCTTCATGTACATTTATACGTGGGTATTATATTTATCAATATATATGCTATTACATTTATCAATGTGAGTATATAAATAATTACAGTACCAAAAGTTGAAAGAACGATTAAATTATAACAGAAACCTGAGTACGCACTTGATATTTTAGTACATTTTTTTGTTGCTTTCTATATAAAAGTGGACTACTGCTGCTGTTCATTGCTTAAAATTAAACAATTTGTGATAAACGAAAAAATTAAATTTAAAGTAACTTTAAATCATACTTTATTAAATATTAATTCGTTTGTTTTGGAATTAAGAACTTAAAAATTGAGCGAAATTAGCGGATTTTTAACGTATCCTAAAGTAAATAAGTGTTTCCCTTCAACAAGTGAAAATACTGCTTTTAAATGCAGTCTATATATTATATGTACCTACCACACTATTAAAATTATTTTCATTCATAAACCAAACTATTTCTAGGATTGCATATATTTGGGATAAACGATTTACGCAGTCTTTGAAATAAAGCAAAAATTAATATAAAGAGGGGTTAACATAGTGCTCGATTTTAAGGGTTAATTGCATGAGTTGAGAAAAATAATTATACTTTTTAATGTCACGGAATTTACCGTTAGCTTGCTTTTTAAGTTTTGATTATTTCGTCTTTTATTTATTTCCATTTCGTTGTTTTCATGACTCTTCAAAATTTGAAAATAAGTGCTTATAGTTTCCCTCTGTCCGTTTGCAATTTTTTTACAGCCTTGACAATGGAAAGCTTTAATTTTATAATAATATAAATGGATTTTTACTAGAAAATCTCATCGGCTCTCCTTTCGTCTAAAAAATATAACCGCTCCAAGACGTATTTTAAAGAAACCATAAACACTTTTAAAATTTTTCAATCGGAAAAAAGCCTTGCAACCAAAAAATAAAATTTTTTTTCTTAATTGATAAACTTATTATGTTAACGCCTCTATTTTTTTTTAAAGCAGTGTTCTAACTTGGAAAATCGCTATTTTACAAACCATTAGTTTGAACCAACTTTATTAATTTTGTTAGCTACTTTTAAAAATAAATATTTTCGATTTGTAAATAATTAATTTTATTTCAAAAAAACAAATATCTATTGGCAAGTGTCTACACACACTATGATAAAATGTATACATGTTAACGCAGTGTCAGTAACGTAGTTTTAATAAAAAAAGAACGCTGTTTTCTTTTGGAAAAATGTTTTCTTTTGCTTTTATAAAGCTTTTTTTATTTTTCAAAAGCAAAGTCGCATAACCCATATTGTCGCTTATGCCACTCTGCTTTTGAAAAATATCTGAACTGTTTTAAGAATGGCATACAACTTTGTTACTAATTGTTTTGAGTTAATTTGTATTCCTGGAAGAAGATAAGCTATTTGCGGAAGAAATTATACAGTTTTTAAATTAAAATAGTTTGTTTTTATATTTTATGAGAAAAACATATAAATATTTTCTATTAATTTTTCGTTTTTAATTTAAACTTGACCACAAAAATGAGAAAAATAATATTACCCTAATTTAATAATTGGCCTCATTAAACTAAATTTAACTATCGCATTAGGTTTAGATAAATTTAACTTTATTAATTCGGACCCCAGTGACGTAACATTTTCATGGTACTTGTACCGTTTTTAAGACTCTTGTATCATAGAAAATTTTGACCTGTCATTGTATGCTAATTGTAACATTTATTAAATCATTTTTTGTTAGAATGTACCATCTTTTGATTGAGATCGGAAACTGTTAGATTTTCATATTTTTCACAAAAGAAATGATATAGAAAAAAAATTAAGTAAATGCGTATACATACAAATAATTCAAAACCACAAACACGATAAAGGTGATCATGATAGCTAGGGCTGATGTCAATACTACAATGTAAAATAATCTCTATAGTATTGTATAAAATTTCTGGGAAAACTACGTGACACTTCTGTTTTAAAAAAAGGAGGATTTTTAAATATATTCTTTGAAGATTATGACTTACACACTTTCAAATTGGTCAACATGAATTTGGAAAGATTTGATTTTTTTAGCATTTCATTTTAGTTCAGTAAAAAGTTTTTTCAAGCTCCGAAAATTTTTATTCAAATTCTCTTTTGTTTTTCACGCTTTGATTTAAGCTGGTACCGAAAGTTTTTAAAAAGGTTCAATTTTGAAATTTCGTGGATAGTTCGTAAAACCTTTAATTCTCAGAAAGTATTGAGCTTTAACATCTATTTTTAGAAATATTTGTTACGTATTTTCGATTCGAATGTGGAAAAATGCTAAAATATATTTTATTTACAAAAATGGAATATTTTTATAAATAAAATTTTGAGTTATTTATTAGTTGAATTGCCAATAAATAAATCAAAAATAAGGAAAGTACAATTTTTTTGCGATGACAATTAATCTATGATTTTAGGTTTCCTGTACCATTTTTTAGAGTTCAATTTATTGCAGCCCTGTTTGACCATTAAGTTAATTCAATTATTATTATTATTATATTTTGTTCTATTCTAATATATTAAGAGCTGTAATATATCATTTATTATGATTTGTTTTTAGCAGTTTTCCAGAAAACTTTTGAAAAGAAGTTCTTATTAGTTTCATTCTATCCGTCCATACGATCTTTTCTATTGCATCACATTTGTAAAAATTAAAAATATAGTTAATAATAAATTAGGCAAGAAATACAAATTTTAAATTTGCTATAAACGTTATTTAAGTATTCACAACAGAAATAATCAATATAGGTTTGGAAAAGTTTTATTAAATTTTTGGAAACATTCAATTTTCAAAAAGAATAATGTTATATTTTTTAAAATTAATCTTTCGTTTAAAAATTAAGGCTTGGAATTCTTTTAACAGACTTTTTTTAAGATTCTTGAAAAACTTTAGATTCTTGAAAAACTTTATATGTACATAGCATTGAAATGACATTATGAACCAAGCGATTGAATCAGTAACATAACTTTTTTTATGTTCGTTATTTATTAAGTGGACCAATGGTCGTATCGCATATAAGCGATTTGGAGAACTTGTGCAAGAAACTGAAAAAAGAGATCTTAAGGCAGAAATTTTAGGATTATTGGGACAGCGGAACGCAGTTTCGGATGGTACCGAGAAGGACCAAAAAGGTGTGATTGGGTATGAAACAGATTAGGGAGAGTTAAAGCCAAGAGTTTATTGAGAAATGGAACCGGCGCCAGAAATTGATAGCACTAAAGCAAAGAAATCTCCATCAAGGAAAATGCTGAACTTAAAAAACATAGTAAGTAAGGTATTAACGTGAAAGTAAAACTGATGAACAACGATCAACTAAAAATAAATGTTGAAAATGAAGATGAATATAGACAATTAATAAAAGCTGTTAATAAAGCCAAATGCCAAATATCCAAAGGGCATTCAAATGCATAGATGTCATAAATAAAATTAAAAAAAATAAAAGAAAATAGCGGAAAAGAAAAATAAATAAAATATGTAAAATATAATATCTTCATTACATGAGAGTAAAGCTTAGGCTCTTAGAAGTAATGAGTCCATCCCGTACACAACAGACCCTAGAGGTTCAGATATACACAAAGATTATGCCAAAAAGGGGTTATATGTGTTAAATGTGCTGGTAATCATATGACGGCAGAATCTAATAAGAAATATAATTTTCAGGACAGGTGTGCAAACTGCAATGAGACACATCCTGCTAGTTACCGATGCTCTTTTCTTTTTTCCTTCTTTAGTCCTAAGAGGAGCATGGGATAGTGCATGATACCATAGATAACATACTCCAGTTTCAATGCCTCATAGAGTTTTAACCAGGTTGGTAACTAGCCTGCCATAGTTATTTTTATATTAAATATTTAAGGTTATTAATATTAGGTTTATTTTTCTTAGTTTCTAATATCGAATATTATGGATATATGATAATTACTTGTATACTATTTTTTTTACTTTGTATTGCATATTAAGTTATAGTACTGAATATAATTTTTATAGTGACCTGACCGGAGTTTGAACCCGAGAACTTTCGGTTAAAGAACCGGTGCCAATGTACCAATGGTCAGGTCAGCGAGGTTGTTTAGTGGCTAAGGAGCTTCAAAAAAGGATAATGAAGAGGAATCGACCTAAACAGGCCGCGAGTAATCATGTAGGGACCCCAAGAACGAATACAGGCTGTAGCTCGAAAACAAGTATATCTGCCTCCTCCCACTCCACATTTATGCAATTTTTTGGTGGAAATTGATCAAAGAAAGATCCCGTGAAATTATTTGCCACCTTATGCGAAACACCCAGTATAACACAAACATGTTTCCATACTTTTTTAGTAAAACGTGCTAAAATTATTTCAATAATATGGATAAAATAAAACTAAAAGCAATGCCATAGATAATTCAATTTCGATATATAAACGTTGTGATAAAGGTATATAAATAGCTCTTTTGCCAATAGTCCTTTTTTGTTTTTCAAAATAAAATGTGCCAACAAAAAATGTTTTAACAGACACAAGTTTATCGATTTTTAAGTTTAAACATAATCAAATAAGAAACAATTGTATGTGGAAAAATACAAGATTCCTTGAACTCAAACCTGTATCGAGTAATTATCCCAAGGGTATAACAGATTTAATGGTACAAAAAAGAAGGGCTAAACGTGAATGGAAAGAGTTTAAATCAGTATCATACAAGAATTATATAAAGGGCTTACCGGCAACTAAAGAAACGAATTATTCGTTGTAGAAAGAAGAGTACCAAGAAACCGATAAACCGAATAAACCGAACCACGTGCTTTATTTGAGCGATTTGCCTGAATTAGAGGGTGCAACTTTGTCGACGATACGGCAATATTGGCAGTGGAATCAAATGTTGAAGAATCGAAAGGATATAACAATATATTAAATGGATTAAAAGGACAAATACATGAAAAATAAGGCTAAATAAAAGTAAATCTGTACAACTAAATTTCACAAACAAGAATTTAATAAACCCACCAAAATTGAGTTTAAATGGTGTTAATGTATCAATCCAAAACACATCGGAAACCTAGATATGGGTTTGGATGTCAAGCTCAGATGGAAATAATATGTAAAGAAGAAAAGAATAGAATTAAAAAACAAATATAGAAAAACCTATTGGCTCTTGCGTCGCAGGTTTGAATTGTGAACATACAATAAGCAAATTGATATATAGCCAAAAGATACTCGTAAAGCCTATATAGACATATGGTTTGCAGTCTTAGGGTTGTCAAAAGTAAACGCACATTAAACAAATACGAACATTCCAGAACATATTGATGCAGTGCTCGCTGGTATGTGCGCAATAGCAACATGCATAGAGATCTGGGTATTCCCCAAGTAAGTGAGAAAATAAGGAACTGCGCCACGAAACATAGCATGTAAATATCGGAGCCTCCCGGCTTATAGTGGAGAGGGTTTGGACAAAAAAAACTGGAGTGAACGACATCTTTCGAATTGGCCTAAAGTGCTGTGACAGCACAGTACATCCGTGGCTTCCTTCACGGAATATAGGAACAAAAATACTATAGGTCAGTTTGACTAGTTTTGGCAGTTTATGACCATCCAGAGACGTTTTAGTTTGGGTTAAAGTCCCGCACAATTGATAGGTCTGATGACAGTTTGGGTCTGCCTATATTTATCTTTCGATGATTTTTAACACCTGTATAAAAAAAAAATTCTAATCATAACAAACGTCAAAACATAAAATACCTTACACAAAAACCAGATTCTTAGAAAAACAAAAATTTGTTTTGATAATTTCATTATTTTTTTTTTTCATTTGTTTATATTTCATTTCAACTTTCTTTCCATCTTTAACAATTAATCGTATAACAACAATATTTGATGAAAAATACATGTTTCATTTAAGCTCAGTAGATGTCGCTAAAAATATGGGAGACACATACTGTTTCTTTTCTAACGAAAAATATTGTCTGGATAATAAATGCGCCTTTGCTTTAGGGAAATACAGAAAAACACCACTGATGATTGCACATATATATATGATTTATGTATATATATATATACATATGTATCTACATGATTGTAGACTTGTGTATTGTTTACTTTGAATATTAGCTGCTGTATAATCAGGTTTGATCAATACTTTTGCTATAAGAATTCCTATAGAAATTCCATAAGAAACGTCTAATATTTTGCTCATATGTATGTACTACAAAATTCCTTTAGTTCTGCTAACAAATAAACAATATTTCAAAAACGAAAAATCTAAGTTGCAATATAAAATATGTAAGTAGTTTATTTATTGACTACTTATACATATTTTAAATTGAAAATTTGACAAATCAAAGTTTATAATAAAATTAATCAAGTTGAAAAATGCCAAATTCTGAAATTGAAAAAGTATTCTATGAATATCTTTCAAAAAGACCAGTTATTGATTCAAGTGAAGTTTATTCATTTATTAAAGATTTACCGGAAAAAAAGCAAGAATGCCCTTGTAAGTAAATTTTTTCTATATAATATTGCATAAATAGGTACATGCAATAACATATCATATACACCTATATGTATATGTATTTACATACATATGTAGGTATATACATATATATGTACATACATATATTATATTTGAAAAAATTCATAACGTTGGATTATATGGTGTATTTATTTGCTAATAAATTATTTATTTTGTAGACTTATTCTCTGCTTATGGTTGTCAAAAATGTGGACAAAACCCATTTTATAAAACAACAACTTCCCAATATGGATGGTATATGCCAGATCCTAATACCGTACCAAAAACATATTTTCCTAAAAGTCAAAAATTTTCTAGTGAATTGGCTAGATCGGGAATGTATAGGAATTTTTCATTGAACATGAAATAATTATATAATATAAATTATAAACTATTAAATCATACTTACTTGTAAATATGAAAGAAGTTTTAATTTACTTCGTATTAATTGAATTGCAAAAGTATTATGTACATACATATTATGTGTGAAAATTATGTAAATAATTACTGTTATGAAATTTATGTTCTTCTTGTAAATTGAGCTCCTCCTGTTAAAAAAAACTTATATTACTGCTAATCTAAAATCGTTAGTTTTTCTTTAGAGTGTTGCTGAAGGCTTTGTGTAAGAGAAGTTAACAAAATTGTAATTTAGAATTGTGATAACAAAATGTTCGAATATATCGCACATATTTTACAAACAGAAAGCCAAATGAAATTAAAGAACTTATGTAAATTTTTATCGACCACTTTTACATACAATAAGGAGATGTTGTGAAGAAACCATATATACATGCGTATGTATGTATGTATATAGGTCATGTAGTACTTTTAGTTAAATATAAAAAATATGAAAAAAAGGAATGATTTGTGAAATCAGAGTAAACCAGTATTTTCCCTCATATTTTAAATTTTAATTTTTTTAAAATTCCAGTTAATAATTTATTTTGTCTTGTTGGACATGTGTATGTACATATGTATGTATATGTATATCGGAATTCAATGAAATTTTTGTTTAATCAATTATTTCCAACGATACATGCTTAATTTTTTGTTTTCTATTTATCAATAATTATTTGTTTTCTAAACGAGGTGTTTATCACGAAGAAGAATTTAAATACCTGCTTACATACAAAAAATTGACGCAACCACTTTTCATTTTTAAAATTTTTGGACCACAAATAACGAGAAATTAATCATGGAACGCAATAGTAACGAACAATATGAGCATGAAATAGAAAAACCAATTGTAAGAACATCTGAAATTTACATTGACGCTGTTAAGAATCTACCACACAGATTTGAGTATCCTCGTAAGTAAAAACACAAATTTTTTAACATGATTCTTAATATGAACAAGAGACATGCTTGTTTTATAACTTTACTTTTTTGTTTATTTACATAATGTATTTATATGTTTAAGATATGATGACTGGTTATGGAGTGCAAAATTGCAACTCAAATGGATTTTATAAAACCACTAATTCTGATTATGGCTGGTACAGACCAAATCAACATACTGTACCCCACAAATACTTCCCAAAAGGTCAAAAATTTTCTAACAGTCTAACCAGATGTGGAATGTACAAAAATCATACACTAAATATGATATAAATTTGAATAATAAATATTATTATTTTTTACCAATTATTTAATAAAATATTATCGAAAAATTAAATCAATAATAAATAAAAAAGTAAAAGCTAAAAGTATTTAATTTATAATATGAAATATGTTTCAGTTTAAAAAAATTTAAGTAGTTAAAAACATTTTTTTTGAATTATATTATAATAAATTATTACTAAATTATAGAATACTTTTTATAATATCATAATCTTGGATACCTTCTGTAAATTAAAAAAAAAACGAAAAAAAGCATGATAACTTGACAGGAATGAAGAATTCGATGTCATAAATTTATGAGGTTTTGCAACTGTGCACAAAATTAAAACGGAGGGATTTTCGACAATTCATTTCTATTTTCGAAAGATCAGTTCAGTTGATTTCTCGCGGTACATTTTAAATCACATCATGCTATTAGGCCTTTTAATAAAAGCAGTTTATCGCGATGTAAAGCGGGAACTACGCTATATTTGTGTTCATAAACAAATGTTGCTAATCAAGTTTTTTCATAAACATTGCTATCCTATCAAAAATATTTAAGATACATGGGCTAGCGCAGTTAAATCAGCTGACTTTTTTTTTACTAGTTTTTGCAGTTTGATTTCACATTTTTAATTGTTAATTATTGTACTTGAAAATAACAAAATTTCTTTTTGTTTCAGCTGTCTTGTTTTATTTTTCTTAATTTTTATTTTTCCTGAAATAAAATTTTCCACTATTTGGGACAAAAGAAATAATTTTTTTTGTTAACGACATTTTTTGTTCATGAACACAATACTGCAAATTCATAATAACAAAAGTTTTTCTACGAACTGTTAAAAATACCGCAAATTCTTTAACGTCAAAATTTTGTTTTCAGTCTGCAAACTGTCTGACGTATAAAACTTTTACGGACAGAAATGTAGTAAACTTTTTACCCGTAATTGACTTTGAATTTTGATCATCCGTAAACGTCAAAACAAAAAAAAAAATTTTTTAGATTTAAAATAATTTTATACTTACATATAAAAAATTAACAAAAAAAAATATTTTTTATATTATTTTTAACATAATGATAGTCACTCAATACATTAAATTTATTTATTGAATTACTACGTCTCTGCATGTAAAAAAAAAACCTACAATTTTGACGGTTAATTGACTTTTTTTAAACGTTTAAGAATTTAAACTTTGACTGAAAGTAAAAACGCAGTAGAGTATTCGTAAACTCAGACAACTCAGATTTTGTAAAATTTGACGTTTAAGAATTTACCAATATATTGCATATGGCTCTGATTATTGTTTTGCAGTATTGTGTTTATGAAAATGCCTATTACTAACTTATGTATTTCAAGACTCAATTTATATACAGATATCCTTCGCTTAGCGCCCTCTCGATATACGTTTTTTCGATTTACGCTCTTTTAATTTTCAATACTACAAATTCGCATATTTTTTTAATTTGACAATTCGATTTCTTGTCAAATTAAAAAATCGATTTATTTTGGCACCCTAAAAATTGGTTTTTTCCATCATATTTTTTTGTTTGTACTTCATTTGCTTAATATTACGTTATTTTTGAAAATCAAGTGCTGCCAATTACTCATGTAAAAAATATGAAAAAATTGGCAGCTGTATTTTCTTTGCTCAAAAACGGATAACGAGAACTATATAATTATGGTAAAATTTTTGTTTAATTGATTTAATTTAAAATTAACTTTAAAGAATTGCAAGACAATTCTAAAAACAAAGAAAAGTTAAACTTTTTACTTGAATACAGGTTGGAAGATCTTGTTTTTTGGTTATTTCTATACAGTGAATTAAACTTCTATCCCAATTTCTTTCACTGAAAATTTATATGCAAACTATTTTTTGATGCTCAAAAAATAGTTTGCACTATATTTTAACATTTTTGCGAGCATTTTTTAAAAACTCCTTCTTTTGACAAAAGACGAAAACTGGATTTTTTAACAGACTTCTTTTTAAAAAACTCCTTTAAGAACTTTTCTGATTTTAAAACTTTAGATTTTTTCTCAGTACTTAACGTAAAAAAATTTTCGCCTTTTCTTAGAGCTCGGTACGGTATTTTCAAAGACACCTTTGCTGCAATAACAATAAGTAAAGTATTGTACTACTAACAGATATAAATTGCTAACATAAAAATACGATAAAATACTGCAAATTATTGCAAACCACTAACAAAATTGTGTTCATTGCAAAAATGAAATTCTATTTTATTTAATTTTTTTTTTAATTTTTTATTTTTCATATATTTTTTATTTTCATAATTTTTAATTTTTTTTGCATTACATTTTTAATTTTAATTATATTGTTTTGTTTGTTTTATTAAATTTAATAAGCATCTTTATTATTTATTTTTGATTTATTTGAATATATCTTTTTTTATTATTTTTTTTTGTTTTATTAAATATAATAATAATATCCTTACACACATTCTAGCTTTTTTTTATTTTTCAATTTTGTTACTATTTTGAAAAATTTTGTATTAATATTTTTATCTTGCTTTTTATTTTAAATATGTAAATATTTATAAAAAAAAATTAAAACAAACGTAAAACTGTTAATTTATGTTGTGTCTATATGTATATTTAATATAAATACAAGTGGTAGTGAAATTTGAAACTAATTACGAAAATAAATTCTTTTTTTATTTTTTGAATAATATTAGTAAATTTCAATGTTCAGAGAGTTTACTTGACAAAAAAATATTTTAATTTTCTGGCAGAAACAGTATGTGTTCGCATATGAATAAATTGACGTTCTGCAACTTTTTATGAGTGCTGATGAACTTTAAAGAAAAGTGCTAAAAAAGTTGATATTTAACCCAGAATGAGTTTTAAAAATTTACTTCCAATCGTATAATCAACATTTTCAACTTTTAATGAATCTTTTTAATTGAATCGCAATTAAGTTAATTAAATATTTATTACTAAGTTTGTAAATAAAAACGAGGATAAGATACCAATAAGTTAAATTATTTTACCAACAAATAAAATTAAGCCATAAAAGTTAATATAAAATGTACAAAATGATGTATCTTAAATATCATAAATTCAATGAATATAATAACTATGACAGGTTCTATAATAATACGATTATTAACGCTATAATAATTTCAAAAAATGAATTTCTTATGCAGTTTAAAAAATTTTTTTTAATATAAAAACAAAAAATTGTACTTAATTGCAGAAAAATTTGAATGATATTTTCAATCAGAAATCTTGTTGTAATCAGAAATGTAAGACAATTTGTTGTTATCAAATGCAAAAACTGATTTATGTTGTTTGACAACAAAAGTTTGATAATTGTTAATATCAAAATTTATAAAAAAAAAACATGTGCGTTAGCAAACAATACAAATATGACATTTTTGATAACACAAATGAATGCTGACAGAATATTACAATATATTATAATTATTTGATATACCTATATACATATATAAATTTTTTAAGAATATGAATTCAGAAAATATTGTAATTTTTACCATTTCAAACACAAGATTTATGCTTAAATGCTATTACGATAATCATAAGAAAAGTTATTATTTGTTTAATAATTGGGGATATTTGATAAAAATTTGAAAATTAGTTTTAAAACTACTTTAGATCATGAAATTTCATACTTTTAAACTCAATATAAGTTTAATAAAATTTAAAGTCAGAAACTAAAATAAAACAAATAATTTTTTTAATGTAAAATAATCAAAAAGAAAATTTTTATTATTTTTTTAATATTTTTACAGTTTCATACGCAATTTAATATATTAATTTTTTTCCTCTTTTAATGCAATAATAATAATCAGGTATTATATACATACATATATTTGTTTTTATTTTTCCAAAATATAGTTTCAAAATTCTTCGTTAATGTACGAATTAAATAATAAAGTTTCAAATACGTATAATTTGTTCATACTTATATTTAAAAATAAAACTTAGATGGCTGCTTTGAAAACGCTCACAAACATTCTAATAGCTTAATTAAAGATAAAAAATATGAAGAATTAAAATACAAAATAAAATAAATTAGGTTGCAATTTAATTTAGTTTTCAACATAAAGTATGTTTTTAAATATGTATATATGTATATTTGTGGATTGCATCAAAAAAAAATTATTTTAAATTAATTAAAATAAAGTAGCTATTGGAGCAAAAACTTAATTAGTGTTTAACTAATAAGATTTATGTTTTTTTTGCTATTCTGCTTTCATTCACTAATGATTTAATTCCAGAAATTAAACATTATATGTTAGAAGAAATATGCATAAAAATTTGTTTTTCAATTATGCATATTAAACGAATTGCCATTTCTATAAAAGATTTTTAAAAAATCAATATAAAAATCAATATAAATAAATGTTATTGTTGTATTCATTTTTATAATTTTCTTATTTGATTTCTGAAAATTCAATTAAAATATAAGTCGAAAATCATGTTATTAATGTTTAATAGCACTTATTAAACTATTAGAAATAATAGAGCTTTCTAAATTTCAATAAAATCGCATTTCTATCTCTAAATAAAAAAAAAATGAAAAGCTTTAAAAATTGATGAACACTTAAGAGTTTTTTTTATTAAATATATAATTTAATTTAATTTTTTAAAACAGATAAAAAATTTTTTTTTTTTAAATATTACAGAACTTTCCAAATTTTCTCCACTCTTGCCTTTTTATTATTAATTCATGACTCATCATAATAAATTAATTGTACCACAATGACTTTCACCGTTCGATCAGAATATTTTTATTTAACTACATTGTTGCAATTTTTCTTTAGTAAAATTTCGATACATTAATGAGTTTTATTTATTCCATCGATCGCATTTTCACTTAGTATAATATTCTGTATATTGTATATACATATTATAAACTGAATTTTGAAAATTATTCATTCATTTTACAAAAAATTAACGATATCTTTTTCATAAATTCTCATATATAGAAACTTTTTATTATAAATGTGATGTTTCTATTCTTATTGTTTTGATTTTGTTTTACATCTCAAAATATCTTCTGATTAGCTGCTTTGGATAAAAATTGTAAATGTTATTTAATTTTTCTTTTATTGCAATTTCACGTTTTC